ATCATTTTTTTCTTTTTCTCTCTTTTTTTTCTTTTTTTTCTTTTTTTTTACCTCCCAAAAGGGGGGGCCGGGGCCGGGCCGGCCCCCCCCCCCTAAATCCGCCCCTGGCTAACTTTAGCCAGAAAAGGCTCATAGGTGTTACGCCACTGCCTAGAAACGGTTTAGTCATAAAACATCATAGAATGAAGGAATCAGATAGTGCTGAAAGTGTTGTCAAGCCCGGGAACACTCTTTTATGCCTTGTTTAGCGAACCCTCCGACCGGCAATTGATGGTGATTTCAAATAAAAGTAAAATGTTATTTTTGGCCATTTAGGGCACCCTATCCGCCAATAACAAATTCAGAAAAAAACAAAAACATAATTTTAAAGAAAAATTATTCTTACTCCCCTGAAATCTCATACCCTGAAAAAAATTATATATTGTATAATCTCAATACTACACTGTTTACATTTATAAATAATTCCTTTTCTCTTCCACCTTGATGCTCAAACTCAATTTTATTTTTATATTTTTCCACCCTCCCATGACGATGGAAAAAAAAATATACCATAAGTTCGCTAAGCAAAATACGTCAGTACTTGCTGAAGCTGCAGAAAAGTCCTCTGGAGATAGAACGCTTACACTTTGGATAGTAAATCATTACTACTGTACTGTTCATCAGAATACCGTGAACATGCGTGCGTCTAAAACTTTGTCACCACCACAAGCCACATCATCACCACCGTCATCGGTGTATGGTCATCGACAGTCAGACCATTTAACATATAAAAATATGCCCACAAGAAGCCAACACATGTCTGTCAGTCTGATAGTGCCAATCGGTCATCTAGAGGTTGATATTCTTTTTAAAAAATCTCACCCCTTCTCCCAGCTCGAGCCTACGAGCTCAAGTCCCCCTGTCGGACAACTTGGGCGCCCCCCCCCCCTGAGAAAATATATCCTAGAGCCGCCACTGGCCGCTAGATGATCAGAAAATGAGACTTTTTGTAAAATTCATCATCACCACATCACTGTTATATACAATGCTGTAGCCAGGATTTTTAAACAGTGCGGAACAGTATCATTGTGGACCCACTTTAGGCGTAAATTCAAATAATGTAGACCAATTTTTTAAAAGTGAACCCATTTTACGCAAAAATATAAAAATTCTGTACCCATTTTCTTAAAAGTTCACCAATTTTACACGAAAATATGAGAAAACAGGACTCATTTTGTGAAACAGCATAATTTAGACCCATTTTTGAAAATTTAGACACATTCTTTGTGGACCCAATAGAAAAAATTGTGTGAGACTATCTAACTGTCCTTATAGCTGGCTACGGCATTGATTACATACTCAAAATGAAGCGCCAACAAATTTCTCATGATCTTTTATCAGCGATTTTCGACAACCCTAGAGATCTTATTAAAATGTGTGATGTACCATAGAAAATAAAGCTTATAAAGATTGCTTTTGAGTATGTACTTTATATACTTCAAAGCCGTGATTTCACAACCACCTCAGCCCCATCATGGTTGGGGCTGTGGTGCGAAAATTGGAGGAAATAGTACCGCTAGATGGCCGGAAATGACACTTTTATATAGTAAAATTCATCAGCACATCACCATTATATAGTCAAAATGAAGCGCCAACAAATTTCTCATAATCTTTTATCAGGGATCTACTTAATATCCTAGACAACTTAAGCCTAACTAAAGCTTACTAACTATACTATAATAATTGTGATCAACAAATCACAACTTACCTTTTCGCCTAAGCACAATTTTCTTTACTTTTTAATATTATTAATATTATTATCTATTGTGACCATCATCATCATTATCATTGTCGTCATCATACTAGTAGTACTATAGCATTAAAACAAAACTTTATATAGCTTGCAAAACGATAAAAACCAAACTGAACCATACAATATCACATTTCTGTATCTGAAAGACCTGGCCTAAGACATGGATTTAAGATTTTTTTTTTAATCACGCTTAGGCCTATGTGTTATTATAGTAGGCATATGTATAACGTGTTCCGATACATATTTACATAGATTAGAAGTATTTATTTTGAGTTATCCTTGGAAAAAATGTGTATCTAGCAAGAACAAGCTTTAAAATTTTAACACCGAGTACAAAGGGGGGGGGGTAGCCATGCCTACCCCTCCCCCGGTATATGTCCCTGAGAGGGAAACCTGTATTTACGGTCAATAACGATTTCAGTGTACACAATTTGATGTTTATCACTGAGAAAGAGCATCTAAACACATAACGTTTTGATATTGTCAATAAAGGAAACTTAAGATAGTACTGGAAAAGAGACAACTAAACGGAATTACTGTACAAATATACAAAAGTTTGTATTTATTTATTACAATTGGCTTTTTACAGAAAATATTACTGTGCTTTGCTACACCACCCTCATTAGTGAGTTTATATACTTTTGAGATGACTACTAAAGATACATTTGGATGGATAATAAAGGATGATAATAATTTTGAACCTAAGATATACTAATTTGATAATGTTTATGCCACAGCCACCAAAGAAAAATTACATATTATGAGATTCTTGGTGCACGGTAACTGCCAAAAGGCTCCACTTGTAGTAATTGCCAGAGTATCTGTTATAGGCCTTATGTAGGTACAAAAAAGATATGTTGTTGCAACATATGAAGTGTAAATCAATGAGGCCTTGCTTAAAAGAGCTGTTCTAAAGTGAATGTGGGTGCTATGTAAGATATATTACAATACTATTATCATTATGAAGCATGATGTTGCTACTGTATGCATTTTCTTTAATTTATAAATATGATTAGATTAGATCGATAACTATTAACCCAGTTGCAATTCCATTAATCTGTTTATACTGTTCATACATTAACTGTTTAATCCCGGTAAACCATGGTTAAGTTATGAACTTCAGCGGAAGATCCAGAGATATCCGAAACTGTTGTTTACAAAGGCCTTTGTCTTCATGGTGGGTTTTATATATATATATCTCTTCAATATTCGACCACATTTTGCATTATGTTTATATACAGTAGCAAGCTTATACTATGATTAATTAGAAGAATGTAAGCAGCTGAAGCACTGTCATTAAAAATTTTGAAAATGATTATCCCTCTGATGTAAACAAAAAATAAAGGTGGGGTAACGACCCATAAGTCACAGCGTCATTGTGCTGAATTGCTTATGGGCATGGTCCATGACTACCTAGCCGCTGTAAAGAGGCACTTACAGTAGCTTCATGTTCAAACGATTCAATGACATGGTCTGAAACGAACTACTGTACATGTATAGCATCATGGTAACACCCTGAACTTTTCCACAAACAAGACGTTTATACTGAACCTCCACATTAATTCTTTATCTGAGAACACTTGGTACTATAAACTGAACCATGGGCAAGGAGTGGTGGCTCGAACCAGTGCTGATGTTAAGGTCTAACCACTCGGTCACTCGCCTCGCCATGTTAGAAAATGGCTTAATAAGACCTGCATAAGAGTAAGGTACATAGCCTGGGACCTACGTGATAGCAATCATCCACAATCAATATAAATACAGCTATTTACTTGATTGTTACTCAGAGGACAAAGGCTATGGCTGAGGGTTCACAACATCAGATTTCAAAAAGCTAAAAATAAGGATCATGACTCAAAGAGACTATGAATATAAAATCATTTTTAAAACCATTCTCAATCTGTTGACTTTTAGTTCATCGAATTCTCCAATATCTAGTTCATTTTTTCAGCTTGGAGCCAAACTTTGCACTTGGTTTCTTTGGCGGACTCCACTTCAGACATGACACGTCGACTGTGAGACGAGGTTTGCGATACTGTGTGCTCTTCAAGTGTTCTTCAACCAGCTTTGGGGTCACGCAAACAACATGCTGGCCTTTCCAGTATTTTACCATGTTCAGCGCTTGCAGTGTGCTGATGATGTCATTCTGGGCAATACTTGTCATTTGACTAAAGAGATTAAGATAAAATTTGTGTTTTAGTTATTTTTTTTTTCATATTATTTATTAAAGCTAAAGCTATATTTTCTGTGTAAAATCTGGAAAACATTTAACAACTCAACTAAAACAATGAATTACTTAAAAGAATAATATACTGTCAATGAACAATTACGTTTCTAATGGCTACATAATTTAATTTTACTTTTTAATAAGAAAATCTTTTAATTTTGTTTACTACCAATTTAAGTGTCTAGTTAAAGAATATGGTGACCGAATTATTATAGATGAATATGTATTATTTACACATTCAACTCGACAGTGAAACGAAACGATCTACTTTAATTATTTATTTAGGGAACTTTAAAACATTTACCAATTCTCTATATGTGCAATTATATCAACAATGACCAGTAATTTGATATACCTGTATACTTTTTATAAAATGTGCAATTCAATTCTATAATTTTGCATTTTATATTTAACTTACTTTTAGTAGATTTTAATTCGATTCTAATATGTGCACTCTTTTAAAAAGATTTTAAATAAGGAGAGTTTCAATGGTTTTCGTTCTTACTTTCAACAGCTAATACACTAACTTAATTCAATTATATATTTATCTTAATCTAAACATTTTAATGTTCAACCATTTAAAATTACCTCTTAATGATTAACGTATAAATACCTATGGTCAACTTATGTTCAACCATTAAAAATAACCTCTTAATGAATAATGTATAGGTCAACTTTTCAAATATGATGCAATATATAACAACACCATTGAATATGTACTTATGTTTTAATGTGCCTGTTTTGGTGGGGGGGGGGGGTTTATGAGCTTTGTCAACACAACAAATTTTCATTTTGGACCAATAAAGTTTTCAGTATTACTTGGCATAGAAAATATTCAATATATTTATATTTGTTATTTTAAGCTAATAACTATATGCTAAGTAAACAATGTTCAACGCACATATTATCTATATTATGAAAGCTGCATGCTTTACCAATGAACTAAAAAAATTAACCTTTCTTGTAATAGTGGAACCCAGCTGAATCTCTAGACAGTATCTAAACCAAGACAAGTACAAAATATAAAAAAACTACAACACAAAATAATTCACTAGGCAATAGAATATGAAAATGGTTTGGAAAATTTACCTGAGATCTTTGATGGAAAGTGTACCACGGAAATCCCGTAATATTTCGAGAAGAACCCACGACCAGTAACTGCGGTAACTTAGTTTGCCAAGATCTGATAACGGTTTCTCGGGTGAGCCGACTGCGTTTTCAATCTTTGACAGCTCATAACCTTGGTGAAACAACAATATTGCAATACAATAATATTTCTTTTTTATTTCTTACTTGTTTTCATAAAATATACAATAATAATCTGGAAATTTTTTTTTCAGGAAATTTGGCTCCTTCTGCTTCTATTTTTCAATATTGCCCTTAGAACTTGAGTAATTGCATAACAGTGGCAGATCCAGGAATTGAAATGGGGGTGGGAGGAGGGGAGAGACTTGCACAAATAAAAGATCTACCTCAGCCTCACCATGGTTGGGGCTGAGGTAAGAAATTGTATGTTTAGGGCACAGGAAATGGCACTCTCAAACTGAAATTGGAATATAATTTTCTATTTTTCTCCATTTTTTGTTATAATTTTGAAATATTTGGGGGGAAGGGGTGAGCTTGTTCCCATCCATACCAGCCTCCTCCCCCCCCCCCCTTCGCTTTGAAGCCACTATTGGGTATGGTGCCGAAATACTTCAACCGACCTTCAATAACTTACTATCATCATATCAAATTTCATGATTTGCTAGAGAGTATATGATATATTTTGTGATTTTCTTTTTTTGTTATACTGTATATCCTAATGTTAGCATTTTTGTGCACTTAAAACAATGACAAGACTTTTAACTTCACTTGGTCAGTACAGGCAGAGTTAGAACCAGGGAATACAAACTTGGTTCTTGGTGTAGACCCTATACAGCTGATATCGTGTCAGAAAACAGATAAAATATATGGCAAATACTAATTTAAAACACTTTGAAACTTACTAAAGGCAATCAGTAACTTGCCGTACCCTTTTCTTTGGAATGGTGGAAGAGTTAAAATACATGCAACGTTGTTACCATCTGGTGATTCCTTCTCCTGTTAAACAAACAGAAAAAAAATAAGATGCAAAAAGAAGCAGATTTTAGGGAGTATACCAGGTTAAATCAGCAGGTGATTTAGTTAGAGCATTTGCAAAAGAGGTCAAGGGTATTGGGGGTTTAATCCTGGGGAGATCATTTTTTCCTCTTCTATTCTTCATTATACCATACACGAGAGGAGTCATACTTAAAATGAAGTAACTACAGCTGGGCAAAGTTGTGGTTAACAACTGTCCACTCCATATCTAGACTTGTTCAAGTGTTCTACAGTGATTAAATTTCTTTCCAAGACTTATAAACAGACTTGGTTATAAAGCATCAATGTCCCAAATTATCAGCTCTCCACTTCCCAAAATTCATAAGATGCTGGTTATACAGTATCAAGTGTAGCTCTTACGTTTCCCCCAAGCCAAAGATACTAGAAATACAAGATAGAGTTCTCCACACAAAAAAAGTGTTCCACCGAAATGCATGGTGGGAATACAAACAATGGGACGCCCCCTACAGCTGGATCTAAAAAAACTTCTGCCAAACTTTCATTACCAAGTCGTCGCGTATTTTATTATCAATTCCCAACAAAGATACTAGATATAAAAACAAACTGGAATAGACACCCAGACAGTGACATCGGTGAATACATAACCTCCTTGGTGGTGGTAGAAATCGTTGCTATTATCCAAATAATACACAAAACAATTAAAGCATAATCATGAATCAGTAAAGAATAAAACAACAATACAGCGCAGAATCGCATGGTTGGACGCACTCTTAGTGAAAAAGTTTTCCTCCATTAGTGAAAAAGGAAGGGCGCCTTTTGCGTCTGGATATACTTAGCAACAGAAGGGCGCCCTGTACGTTGGGCACGAAGTATAGGAAACTTGCATGGTTAAAAATAAGGGCGCCGCCTACGTTTGGCACGACTTCCGCCTCAATTTTACAACGCGAGAACTCTATCTTGTATTTCTAGTATCTTTGCCCGAGACCTAACAAAATTTGGTTATAAAATATGGTCCCAAATTATTAGTTGTTATATATTGATCTTTGTTGTTAAATGAAGCTATAAATGAAAAAATGTGAATTATCTTATAACTAATATTCTATTTTTTTTTTATATAGATTTTATGCCAGTACTTTTTTGTAATGTATTTTCAATGCAATATCTTTTTAAAATTATCAATTTAATAATGTTTATAATTAATAATATATTTGTGCAGTATTTTGTAATACTTTCATTAATGTAATTAAGACATGCATGTAATTGACTTTTACCTGTTGGTTAGTGTTTGAAATAAAATAAAATTAAAAAAAACTACAATACCTTGGAGAAGAAACCAACAATATGTGCCCCGTAACGATCCACTTCTGTGAGTATGTAGAATAGGAATGGTTCCACATCAAAGTACAGTGTCTTATGGTCCAGGAATAACTTTGCCAGGAGACAAACATTCTGACAATATATCTACAGGATAAAAATATTCTGGTTTGTATTTTGAGAAATTTGGCATAGGAAAATATGTAATGAAACCTGTAAAATCTATCTCGCAACATACCTTTATCACTATGAACATTTGCGCTTTTTTCGATGAAGTTACAGAAACCGTTGCAGTAATGTATACGCTATCAATGAATGTATCCAATTATGGTAGCACTGCATCACACCTATCTGTAGATAAATCAAGTCGGAAGCAACATACGTACACTGGGCAACTTGCAGTTGTGCGTACAGTAGTTGAGCGTTTGTGGGTGAAAGTCAACATGAGCACTACCGGCAAGTAGTTCAGTTGAGCACAGTCAAGTCACAAAGGCGAAATAAACTTGGCGGTTTTATAATTACAAACCAAGAACTACTGGTACATTTTTTTTAAATATTTATTATCTCTACTATAATTGTAAACAGCACTTATATATCCTGTTTTTCATATACTGGATGGGTTGATTTTTGGCATATGTCATATTATCTAACCCATTTATAAATATTTAAAACATTCCATGGATAGTGTAAAGCACAAAAAGGCAGTTTATTCCAATATGTAAATAGCGCATTATTATTATTATTATTATTATTGTAAGTGTTACCAACCTTGGCATCATGTCCATCCACTTCGTATACAGATATTGATCCTTTCCTGTAGATCTCCTTGCCAGGGGGCTGCCGTGCAGTACATGTACTCTATATATTACAGAAAGAAGGCAAGATCAATGCATAAAATAACTTCCTTTTAAAAGATTATTTAAAAAAAATGTGAGGTAAAAAAGTGGTAGAAGGTTAAAATTACTAATTATTGAGAGAGAGCAGATTAGCTCAGTGGGAAAATCTGGTGGTAGCCACTGTGTGTGCACTAAACCGTGGAAATCTCTAGGTCCCAGATTCAATTCCCATTGCTGCCTCCTTGTGTTTCAGCTGGAGGGCTGAAATACAAGTTACAATAGCGCACCGTCTTTCGTATGAGATGTTTAAGCTGTTGGTCCTGTGAGCATTTATGGCCCATGTGCAGGTTAAAAAACGCAGTACACTCTGCGGAAAAGAGTAGGGGATTGTCTCCCGGTTTACTGCCCAATCACCACCAGAAGGATCCCACTAGAAATAAGTCTTTTGTGGGCTATCCTTGGTGTTCATACCAAATAAATTCAATCAATCAATCAATCAATCAATCAAATCATTGGAAAATTTGTTTAAATGTCACAGGTTCGATTCCCGCTATGATTTTGAATGATCATAACATACCGTAAAAACCTTCAATAAAAGCCAAATGAGAAGCCCCCACCATAGTGGGGCTGAAGTAGACTCTTCATATGTGAAAGTCCCTTCTATTTGAAATTCTTACTAGATCCCCACACTAATATCATATCATTTTTTTCTTTGTTAAAAAAGATTATACAATGACAAACATGATTTAAAAACACATCTAAACCCCACAATGTAATTGGCAACGGGGACTGGAAAAGGGCCCCAGCGTTACGCCACTGGAAGTTATCTTTGATTATGATAGCATGTCAGTACCAATATTAGGTTATTGTACTAGCATGATTAAAATTTTAAAAATATTAAACAGAATTTTGAAATTCCTTAGTTGCAAAAATTCTGTATAGTAGCAATCTCAAATATCTTTGGAAAGAACCTCCCCTCTTAAGTTTTCAAAATTAATCTTGAAAAGAAGCCCATCCAAGGGTCCTCTCAAAAAGGAAGCAAAGGGAATTATTCAAGGTTTTACGGTAGTTTAATTTTTTTGTTTAACCGAGTGAAGCTCAAAAAAAGGAAGAATCATTGTTGTGTGCCTTACCATATGTTTCTTATATGTTCTTTCAAACTTCATGTAATTTAGACAGTACTCGCAAACCCACAGCTTGGGCTGACGACCAAATTCTTCAGGGTAGGGTGAAAAATACCAAACATCAATCTCATACTTGCCAATCTGGATCCTATCTACATACTTGACTTTAGTAATCTGCCAAAAAAAATGCAAAAAAAAAAATATTTTTAATTGGAATGTCAATTCTCTAATGATGAAAAAGCAGGGGATGGGTTGGTTGCTGAGGACTGGGATCATGTATTGTAATATGCACCACTGTCACTATTATGTCACAGTTACAAATAGATGTAAACAAGCTTTTTACTAACAAGTTCATGTTCCTTCTCTAAAGCTGCAGTTGTTGGGTCCATTTCTGCCAAACTCTGAAAAATGCAATAATATGGAAAGTATTGAAATAACATGAACAATAAAGCAATAATCCAAGTAATTACATACATTACCATACACTTTATTTTTTAAATTTTAATCAAATTTTTATTGTAAATATTTTTGGTGTTTTTTGGTGTTGTATTTGGACTTCTGACTCACTGAATCACAGAGGCAATTGCTTCTTTAGGGCTCTTGTGTCAAATAAATAAATGACATGAAATTATGTTTGAATCAGTTAAATCAAATGTTTAAACAGATTCTGTATAAGAACTAAACCATATTCAGACTACCAACAGACATGCAAAGACATGATCTGTTTGAAAAAAAAAGCATACAATATCAGACAAAATTTGACCAAACATTGTCCAGACTATAAAATTTTATTTGAAAAAAAATTATATGCCTAAATATGGCTGTGATTACATCACATCATGACCATATATAGGCACATCATGACTATATTTGGGCATATACAGCAGTACCTTAAAGGTCATGCAACTTAAAGGCATACAACAGGCCTTATAAAAGTTCTGTCTACACTATCAGGCTTTTTTTGTGAAAAATAACTGTGTGTGATTGCCCAATATGTTATGACATCATCATACCCACTGACCAATCAGAGATATTTCATGGCCGGCGGAAAAAATGATGTCTGGAGATTTTTGTGTGACCGGAAACAAATTCTAGACCTACCTTTTCAGGACCCGTGAGCTGATTTTTTTTTTCTTTTTTATGTTACATCAGAAAATTAGAATTTTGAAAAACATAAAAGTCATTAAAACACACTTCAAATGTCGGGAAAGCTCATTCCCGCTTTCTACGAATTAAAATTTTCCCGGGGGAGAACCCCTGGATCACCCTTTCTTTTTGGGATTTATCGATTCATGGAAAAAAAGAATACGCATGCAACTACTCATTTATTTATGTAGGCCTATGTATACACACATAAAATAAAAAATTAGAAAAATTTACCTGACCA